TGCTTTTTCTGGGGGCTAAGCAAATGCTTATCTCCCCAAGCGTGGCCTTCACCAACCCATTCCATCACAACAGAGGGCTCATTCATGCTATTAGCAATTTGCTGCTCCTTCATCTTTAATGGGTTTTCAGGAGAGGAACAAGCCACACTGATAGGCAGCTGCTAAGATGCAGGAGCTCCATCCTCTTTTGCCGTTGGCTGCCCTTCTGGAAAGACGTGCTTTAACTCTCCTGATGCAGATCAAAACCATGGCATCTATTAACACCTTCCCTTCCCTTCCCTTCCCTTCCCTTCCCTTCCCTTCCCTTCCCTTCCCTTCCCTTGTTCCCCTTCCCCTGTTTAATCATATAATTGCTAATATCACAGGATGTATTTTCAGCCACAAGGTACTCTGGATAGATTATGTAAAATCTATGCAAAATACAGACATAGAATTTTTGAAAAAAACCTATGCCTTTGAAATGGCAGGTTACAGCAGTGGTTATTAGAGCATGCTATAGGGATTGTGCCACAGATTTCATTTTCATATTGCCTAATTGTGGGGCTCTGCAAAGCCTTCAGAGGAGGTACTCTGCAACACATGGGAGCATGAACGATGCACCTCTCTCTGAATTATTAAAGCAGCCACATCTTCTACTTCACAAAGCTGTTCTGAAAGCCGTCTCCACCTGCCTCTGCACAGCCTGTACACACACAGCCACTTGGCTCACACACAAGGGAAGACTGCTTTTATAAGCCTCAGTGCAAATTGTGAGGTCCGCCTCAGTATAATGTGCGACTCCAGCAACTGTAGTTTGTTAATCGGGACTTGTGTCTTAATGGTATGTCACAAAGGTTTGTTCAACAAGCTTTGACTAAAACAAACAATGGCCTATTGCTGCATTCACACCTCATGCTAAGCCCTAATGAGGTTGGTTCATTGCTCAGAGTAATGTATGAATCCATCTACTATGATTTAGCCTCATATGTGAACCCATCCCTTGTGATTTAATGAAGAAACATTCATGAAAAAATTGCATTTGCGTAAGATCTGTGAATTCAGGCAGTGATTCAAGGGCAAAGCAACTTGTAAGCCTAAATCAAATTAATTACATCACGGCTTAGCAGGATGTGTGAACTAGGGTTTGTGGGTCCATCTGTGTGTTTCAGCTAGACTCAAACATTGGAATCCAAGGCAGAGCTGGGAAGGTCTCAGTCCCATGACCAATGGGAAGATGGTCCAGGATATTACAACATTGGTCTGTTTCTTTATTTAACAACGTTGCTAACCTGCCCCAATCCTGGTGGACAGCAGAAAAGAAAAGAAACAAACATAAGCAAAATATAACAAGCTAAACCTAATACAACTGATTTCCTATACTATCCTCTGGTAGTGACCCCAATATGCGGCAGAAATATGGATGGTTCCAAAAATCTGACACCTATTCCTGGAATATATGAAAAATAGTATATGATCTGACTCATCACCCCCCACATACCCTCTTGTCCTCACAAATGCTATTCCTTCTTTTGAGCCTATTAAAATCACAGACAAGAAAACTTACCAAAACCACGGCGTGATAGGCTTTCTGCAACTCCTCCACAGTTACATCCCTCCCCACAGTCACATTCCCAGAAAAGGAGCAGCGGTCAGAGCGGGCTGTCTGTGTAAAGGTGTTGATCACATTCTGGGGAGAGAGGTCAAGAGAGGTTCCGTCTGAAAGCCATCCCCCTGCCTCCAGCAGCTAAGCGCCCAGGCAGGAGGCCATAGCAAGAGAACAAGGCCAGGCCTAATGACTTTGCAGCATCTCACTTTGTGATTCAGGCTGGCACCGGGCCAGTCAGCTCCATTAAAATGGCACATTTTTCTTCCAGGATAAGTTGCAGGAAGAAGGTAATATGGCCTATTGCCAATGGTGGACATTTTAGTTGTGCACAAGGTCATCTCTTTCCTTATGGGAAAGCACAGCACATCATCAGGTTTACCTGTCCAAACTCAAGTAATCTATATTACTGGTCCATTCCCTCTAAAAGCAAAACATCCAGCACAAAGAAAACCAGAATGCCATGAAATATTAGGGCTGTGCAAAGCGTTCAAAAGAGGGGCTTTGCAAAAAGGGTTCAGGCAAACAAAGTTCCTCTTTTCAAACAAAGCAGCCATGACTTTTGAAAGACTCTTTTGGCATCTGCCAAAACTTTTTCACGTGGTCTGTGTCGGCTTCTCCTGAGGCTGCCAATGAAGCAAAGCGGCTGCAGACACACAGGTACACTGTACTGAGAGAGCAGGGAACAGCTTGGGAAGCAGCTGCACAAGGTATGAAAAAGGGATGGCTACTTTCACAATTCAAAGAGGGGCACTTCATTCCCGGTATTGTGCATCATATAACGCCTTTCTGAATGCTCTGCACAGCCCTGGTACAGATTTCCATATCTTGCATGCATGCTTTCATAGGTATAACAGTGCCGCTATTGTTATCACTCATAAACTATCTCATATTTTCTATGGCTGTATGCAGATTAAAAGACAGGACAGAAATGGAATGGAAAAGTGAAGAGAATAAGGAAGGTGGAGAGAAGAGGAAAGCAAGTACAGTGGAACCTCGGTTTACGAACTTAATTCGTTCCGTGACTCTGGTCGCACCCCG